AAATATTTTTATTATATTTTTATTATATAATAATTATAAAGCATACATATTTAGCAAAAATCAAAGGTTCTGTAAAGAAGCAATAATGGCAGAAACGGCGATATTGGGATTATTGACAATACTGTCAATGAGGGCATTTTTGGGATTATTGGCGATACTGGCAGTATAGGTAGTTTTTATAGATAGAATTGTATTATAAAATAAAGGCCTTCTGGCCCTTCGGAAACAACAGTTAGTTCCTGTTTTACCTAAATAATAAAGTACCTAAGTCATATAAACATACCCTACCAACTACATACATTCTTTTATTAACCACTCGTCCAAATATAACGCGCCTCTTTCGATTCTCGTTGCTGAAATTTGTTGGTCGGTGACCCGATTGCTGCGGAGCAATTGACCGACCGATTTCACCTTTCTCAACGCAAATAACCGATAAATCAAATTGAGGTTAATTAGTTTAAATATAAATACCGTATAGGTCCGAAAATAAGCAACTCTCTATGCCACCCATTTTAGCCAAATTTTTTAAAGGGTTGCTTAAATTCAGTAACTTTGAAATACTTAACCCTATCTATTTTATTTATAAGAGTTTCTTGTTTTATTTTTTAGTATTTTAACATTTAAAATTAAGGTATTGCTTTTTTCGGGCTGTTTACTTTCGGACTTACGTGGTAAGCGAGCTAGAATCTTAAATCAAAATAAATAAGCTATATAAACAGTTTATTTCAAAACAGATATATCACGAAGCCCTAATAAGTTTTCTTGGCGTTATAAAATATATAATGTACTGCAATAAAATATGGTTAGTAAGATAAAGATTTTTTTAAGTTATTTAATGATCAAATCATTAAGACATATTATATTAAAAAAGTAAGACGCCAAAAAAATCAAAATATCATACAATATTAATTCACAAAATTAATCTAAATTTTGTTGAAACCTCATTATTTAATTTCCTTTTTGTTACAAAAATAAGTATTTTCTAGTTTTTTTTTGGCTAAGGGAGGATGGAGGTATTGTGGTGCACTTATCTTTTTTGCCAATATCTTGCGATCCATTGATCAGAATTGAGAAATTAAGTGTTCAATTCGTCTTATCAAGGCGAATCAAATAGCATAAAGATCACTTTATCTGAACCACTAAGCTACAATATACAATTAACGTTAACATTAATATGTCAAATATCGATATGCATAGTGCGCCGTAATACTACAACCTGAAAAAACAACTTTTTTTTTTATCATTGGATAGCAACCAAATATCGATAAATTTCTTGAATAAATATGCTTTTTCTAAAAATTTTACTATTAGCAATCAATAAGTGCGCAATAATACCCGATCCTCGACGGCATACAATTGAAGCGAGTCTCGCTACTATACAAATAATACTACTTCTATAACAGTATTAAATATAATAATTTTTATTAACGGTATTTAATAAATCTTTTAAATATTTATGTTATCACTTGTTGCAATTTCTACCATTGGAAGTGTATAATCAATGGGTTTCAAATGCTAAGAACGAGCTATGCAAGCTATTATGATTAACTAAAATAAATCATAATATAATGATAAGTTATCATTTAACAAAAATTGATCGAAACTGTCGATTTGTTGTTGATAAACGTCCGATCCGGTAGAATGACCACCCTGTAAAATAAAAGGTTGAATGCAAATGTCGGAAACTTCACTATCGACCGGGAGTTGCCAGGTTGAAGAACAAATGTCAGGCCTAATGCCTGACGTATTATTGTTGATTGGGCTGTCAAGAATGAATGATTGAGTTGGGCTCTGTGTAAAATTGCGATTAAAGTTTTGCAATTTTAAAAGGTCTTCAAATTTTTCTATTTATTATTCGTTAATTTTGGTAAGAAAAGATTACCCAAAAAACATTATTGGACATATAAAAAGATAATGTTACCTTGTGTAATTTCGATTTTAATATCATTATCTTCTAATTTCAAGTATATTTTATTATTTTCTTCAACAAAGTTATAGTTAACAGGCGGATCTAATTCAACAATATATGGTAAGCTATTGAATTAAATTGTATTTTACCGTATAGCGCTACACATGGTACCACCCAGGTAAATATCTCTTTCCTGTAGTACTTTAAGTGATACACGATTGCCAGTTAATATTTTTGAAAAGACAAATCGTATTATCAAATAAATAACCTGGCAGTGCTATATGGTAAATTCATATATATCTATATTCACATGTCTAAATGGCGAAAGAGATCCATTTAAAAATAGACAAATTCACCATTAGAATCTTAAAAGTTATATTCATACCTTCCATAGTTACTTTACAATTTACACAAGGAAATTTATCTTTGTCTAGGCTACCCTTTTTATAACATTCCATACATTGGAATACGCACTGTCTTTTCTTTGCTCTACATCTTTTACATCTAAATACTCCTGGTATTCCATTATACTCACATTTTTTTTTACTTCTACGGCAGTATGAACATTTATTCGATAATCTTAGGTTATTCTTTTCTATTGACAGAGTCGACTCGCGAAATAGTCCTTTTTCGGAAATTTGGTAGTCTGATGAGGGATTGATGATTGAAAAGCGTATGCCGTGTGAAAAGGTAAGTTTCAATAAGAAATCTTTGCTCTTATAACATTAAGTATACTTAGCAAAAAATTTACCTTCATCGCCCAGTGAACAAACACTATGCTTTTGCCTTTTTTTTGTAGATGGATAAGTACATGCTATATGAAGCTCCATACATCTTTTACAACGTTTATGCAAATAATTATATTCGCATCTTCGCTTCGATAGCTTGCATTCTATACAAGCTAATCTAGAGCGTTCCTTTGACGACATACCATTTTTTTTTTGATGCTTCTTATATAAATATTTGGTTCACATTACACAGTTCAATTTAAATTTATCTAGTATCCTAAAAATCTGCATTTATTTAAATAAAAAAAGAAAAAAGTTTACATAAAAACATTTAACATGTGTTCTAAATATTTCCTTAACCAAATGCTTGTGTTCTATACCGATAATAATTATCGCCTGTGATTTATTGCTACATTAACTGTTGGATGCTTGTGTTCTATATCCATAATACTGTAATAAGTACTGTATTTGTTATTTATCATGTTGTTTATGATAACTGATTATCCATTAGGATGCGAAGAATATAACGGGGGCCAACGCCAATAAAATGGTTATGATATATTTCCGACAAAAGTACCTAGCCATTTTCTGCATCTTGCTTAGTCATTCCAAACGATACACAAATTCGCACACCTCCAAATGTGTATTGGGTTTTATTAATTTACTAATTGATTATTTTATTAGCTGATATATTACTTCTTAGGCTTTATATTTTGAAATTAAAGTTTCATTGGCTTTCGTAAAAAAAGTAGTTGCAATTTGTTGTTATTTGGTGCTGCTCATTTCACCGAATGTTCGTTTAGCCGACATCACATTAGAATTTGATTAGTTGCAGGTACGTACGTATATATTTTTAGTAAATTTTCATGTGTCGTGATGCCGGCTAAATATAAAGGTTAATGATTTGCAATAATTTAGTAGGTTTAACGTTAATAGTTCGACAAAACAAATTATGTGTACTCTAAATAAATAGTTTTTGTTAGAATTATTATATTATTCAAAGAAATAAAGTATACTTTTGGATAGGTAAAAATCATCATAACCGGGATTTAATCGTCACCCAAAAAATATTATTCGAATGATTAATGAATTGATAAGATTATTAATTTTATAAAAATTTTCGAATAATTATTGAATTATGAAAAAGTGTAGTCGTTGTAATATTTACAAGCCAAATGAGACTCGGAAAATCGAAATCATAATACGTTTTGGCTGTGAAACAATAATAGGATAATATTTGTCTATTTTATTTACTATAAATTTACTTACTAGTTCGCACGAATCAAACAAATTAAAAATATTAATCAATCGTAATTTCATGCTTTCAAACAAATTGAAAATATTAATCAATCGTAATTTCATGCTTTTTTGTTTTCAAGAAGAAAAATTTTGACTAAAGTTCTTTATAAAATTTCATCTTGAAATTTATATATTAATGCTTGTAATATTAGTTTTTAAGTTTGAAGGTTAAAAAACTATGCGGAGGCATACTGTAAAAATTTTACTTCGGTCTCTTATGATCTGTAAATTTTTTGGGTGGCGATTTAACCCCTGCAAATCATAGTAAGATGCCGGACAGATCCGTTATCAAGCACGCTGATGCTACCTTATAACTCAATTATTTGGTCAATATTCTAAGATATTAAATCCTCGGCCAAATAAACCCTTATCAGGCAGTGTCTGGTAAATTATTATTATTATGAATCATATTTCAATTTAAGTTCCGTACGTATGTACGTACGTATTTGATTTTTGTTAGCAGTATTAGATGGGTTGGTGCATTAGAAATGAACATAGTTATCGTACCGTCGTAATTCAAATATTAATAAGGAAAATTTAATAATGAAATAAAAAACGAACAAAATTCCTTTTTTGAATTATGATGGCATCTATACCGGTTAGGTACTCATATAAGAAGTATACAATAATTATTGCTGTGAATGTTTGTGTTATATACCGATAATAATTATCGCTTGTAATTTATTGCAACATTAATTGCTAACAAATGTGACAAATTAACAGTGTGAAAAGAACTTTCATGATAATACGTTGCACTGGTAACATTTTCAGTAAGCAAATATATTACAATCGGAACTCCGAAACATTTTATCGCGGCTTATTAACGCAATTCTGACTAAAATAATTTTTTTTTTCATGAAATAACTTCGGAAAATATAACATACAATATGGTCACAATTTGTATTTAAACCGATCTCACCCTTTTTTCTCATATTAAACCAATGTCAAGCTCTATACAACTTGCGGAAAGGTTCTATAGATCGGAAAGGGTGTTGTTATAATGGAAGCCCTGGGACTTTTCGATGTAATAGATGTAAGGAGATGAAGAAGTGGTGTTGGTTCTTATGTAAAAATTGTGAACTCAAAAATAGAGAACGGTTTATTCCGTGTGAAAATTGTGCAGTGACTAAAACAGGTATTAAGTATTAATATTGCAATAGATAAAACGTGCTTGTTTTACGCCTGTAAAAATAATAAAAATAATAATCTTTTATCCAAGATTTATATGAAAACTATACCGTTAAATCAAAGCTTTTTCTTAAACACTCTGATAATTTTGAAATTGAACTCACCCCTGGTAAAAATTTGCTAAGTCTTTATGTATAGAGCTTGGAATTATTTTATTTTTCATACGTTAAAACCGTTTAAACTGGGTTTTAACATATGAAAAATAAAATAGTCCAAACTTAAATTATGTATTCTATCACTTTCGATTAATGCTAATTTACAATAATAGATTTAATTCAAAAAATTAATGAATCGCATAGAACTTTTAATCCAAACGAACAGTCAATAACGTTTGGTAAGTTAACTATTAGAAAATTTATAAATTATGCAAATAATTGTTACTTATCTTTAAAATTAATAGTACCAGTGCAGGTCTTGAGTACATCGTTACCAATTTCATATCAACAAAACATGCCGAACACTGATCCCCTATCACAAGTTGCTACACCTACTCAAAAACATGCACCAAGTGATTCTGTCACATTTCCCAACTGCAATCCCTCATTGCCTAATGTTCCGACATCATATCAACAACACATGCTGGGCACTACCAATTATGATGCCCTATTACAAATTGCTAGTTTTACACCCCAACAATCTGCACCAAGTGCCTCTGTCACATTTCCCAGCTATCCTAATGCTCGTACGTCATATCAAACATCCGGCTCTTCCCCCTGGAACTCTCATTGTAATATTCCAAATATTTCGCCTCATATCATGGATCATGAAACTCCTCTTGCTCGTGCTGTCAATGGCAATTTTCAAAACGATTCAACCAATTACATGATATCACCTCAACAATGGTTCAATATGTCCAATAACAATCATAATGCACAAAAAAATGCAGCTGTACCACACAACAGCCACCGATAATACTGTATATTGAAATGTCGGAGAGCAAATATATAAGGTACGGTCGTTGTGTTGATTTTGCCATTGATTATATGTGTCCAAAACCTTATTTCTCGTCTAAGATTATTTATTAAATTCAACAGAAGCACATAAACTCTACTTATTTGGTCACACCTAACAGAAGACTAACGATTTCAAACAATTTACTACTTCTATGGTCATAATTTACCTCTAAGAGACTCAGCTTATTACTATCCTATGCACCAATGGACATTTTAGATAATATTAGAACTAAATAATAAGAATAAGAAGAAGACGAATAATAATAATAATAATAATAATAATAGAGACTAACATTTATAGCCTCCCCAGAGTCAGTCATTTGACAATTACAATTCCGTTTTTATTACATTAGAATTTGTAATTGTCAAATGGCTGACTCTGGGGAAGGATATATTACGTAATAAATGTTAGTTCCCATAAGCATAAATATGGAATATTTAAAATAATAATTTTTTGAAATAAATAAGTACCTGAAAGAATCCTATAAATATTGATTGATTACAATAAATTATAGCTTTGATTATAAATCGACTAAATATATTTTAAAAAGTTCAGTTTGAATCAATTTCGGTTTAGCCTTAAAATTATCTTTCAGGTTGCATATTTCTAAAGTAGATTTTCTGATCCTGAAAAATCTTAAATTTATTAAAAAAAACTTAATATCACTTTAAAATAGTATCATGCTCAATACTTGCAACCAACTTTTGTATGGTTCATGAAAAAGTCACTAATTTTAAAATTATGAATTTGGGTTAAATGTGCGAATAAATTATTAAGTGCAATACCTTTAGTTAATCTCATGCCACTAATTCACGATTGAAGATTGGGCGAATGAGGAATTTTTTTTTTATAATTTCTAGAAATAAATAATATCTTTCTTAATATTAGGAAAAAGTTTTAAAAAACTGTTGTAACTCCGGAACAATAGAAATTCCTTTTCTTTTTCGGTTGCGAAAAAGATAGTCACGGCAAAAAAATGTCAAGATTACAAGATCGTCGGCCCCCTTCCGATAAATTAATTATTTAAGTTTATGCATCGCACTTCGAGAATGTTCGATATTATCGTGGATCATATGACCTTGACATTTTTTGAAATGACGTCACAAAAGTAAGAAACCCGTGACTAGAGGTACGAACATTTCTCATACCTTGTGTGACAACCACCATACGTAATAAAAATTTGAGTCAAAATGCCCGCCGTATGTTATTTCATGTTCTAATTATACAGTTTGGGAAGCTGGAAATAATATTAACAGAATAGAAGCAGATTTACATATCAAAGTTTTAATATTAAAAATTTTATACGCACCTTTCACCTGACATTGTTGGTTGCATTGTATTTGTTGAACTTAAAAAATGAGAGTAATGCGAAACCGACTTTTATGTCCCCTATACTTTCTGGGGGGTGGCGAGTTGGAAGGTATAATATGTACTGTAGATATGTTTTTTATTGTCCTATTTTTCTTCGTGCCAGATTTTTTTTTCTGAAAAATTTTCTATTTCGGAATTTTTTTGACTTTTCACATAAATTTTTGTTCGCTAAAAAGCATATTTTTATAGTTTCCAAATGTACCAATAAGTTGAAAGAATTTATAGCATTCGGTAATCCACCGTAGACTTTTATATATTCCGCACAGCACCTCATATAGTACCAAGTGTGACACGATTTTATACTTAGGCCAGACCAATTTAATTCTTCGTTTAACATAATCCTCCCGCTATTTTTCAAATTTTATAAAAAAATACACATCGCATTAACAAATCAAATTGCGGTATTAGCTTTTTATATTTTTCATATTTTTTACAACCAATAGAATTGTTGTTGGTTTTTTTTAATTGTGTATTTTTATGCCCTCTCCTCCCCTCTTATGAGTTTTTTAATGTTATGTTAAACGAAGAAGCAATTTGGAGTGATCTCTAGAAATTAAAATCATATGTATTTGATTGTAAATCGAGTCATTTATTTGTCACTATGCAGCGCTGTACGGTATAGGCTCCTTGTTCATTGTCTACACGGGTTTTTTTTATCATAGTACATGCTATATATATGTGCTATGTTGTCTTGGTTGGCTGATCTCCTCATTGTACTACCACTTTTTTATACATTACGTGATTTTGTAAAGATCGTGTCACGGCGGATACTGTAGTAAGTTACGCACTAGCTTCCTTCAACCTAATGAGCATATATCCTGCTTAGCCTTAGTCTTATCGAAAACCTAGGACATTGTTACGACAGTCGACCTATAGTTAGCTTCTCTGTAAGTGTACATCTACAGATGGCGAGAATTATATAATGTTGACAGTAAGGAATCATTAGACGTAACCATATTCAAAATATTGAACAACTCTAGAGAGGGTTGTAAAATAAAAAATAAAAATAAAAAAAAAATTGAACAGTCGAATTTCGCTGTTTATAAAGGCGGAAAAGGCCGACAGTTATTGCGGGAATAAAACGATCGTTAAGGTTTGATGAATTTATTGTGCTAAACTCAATAGTTACAAAAATGTATTCATTAGGAAAATTGTGAAACAAGTACAATTATTCAATAATCAACAGATGATGTTTTCCGCGGCTCCTATGTAAGAATAGCCTGACATGGACCTATCATACAAATATTTGCGGAATGTTTATTAGAGAAATTACCATTTAAGGTAGTTGCATAAAAATGAGACGTCGTCAATCAAAAACTGAGATTAAAACCATTGTTATGTATAATTAATTGTAACATGTTATTTGTAACAATTTATTCAGTATAATTATAAGTTATCCGGCAGGTACTATGTAAACACTGACGGAAAAAATTTTGCAAATTTTTATTAAAATGTAAAATCTGTGGAATTAATATAAAATTCTTTCCGTAAGTGTATACGTCATACCTGGTAGATAAGTGATCGGATCAAATATCTGTCGGAGATATGCGGCCGCGATAGCGGCCCGCATATCTTTGACGAATATTTGATTCGATCACTTGTCACCATATCATCGTGTCAATTTTTTATCCAGCCATACACAGTAACGGTATTATTGTCCGGTTACTTGTTATTGCTATACCAAATTTTGATCATATTGTACAGTTGAGTTAAAATACTTATTAGATAAAGTGATTATGTTATCGACTTTGTCTAGTAAGAATTTAAAACCCAACCGTACAAATATGATCAAAATTTTGGGTTGGCAGCAACAACATGGCCGAACAACAGGGAAACGGAAAAGTGCGATTTTATTTATAGGATTTGAAATTACTATAAATAAAATCGCACTTTTTCCGTGCCCCTGCCGTATAATAATAAATAATGTCGAACATTAATCAATGAACCCCATGTTACAATTAATTTTTATAATCTTACTATGGCACGTTTTGATTGACGAATCTTACGTCAGCTACTTCCGTTGAATTTTAAATGAAAATTGTGTTATTAAATGGTTATGTTGGAAAAAAATGATTTAATTAATCTCAAAAAAATGTTCTCTTCTTTCGCATATGTCTGTAACTCTTTAATAAGAATGCATTATTCTACTATTCAAAAATTTAATATTTATCAAAGTTTATCGATAATAAAAATAAATTACGGTTGTATTAAAACCGGTTTGTTTGATATTTTCTTTTATATTTAATCTGTCTACTAGAGACTGCGCGGGCCTGATCAAATTATTTTTTGTCGGCCCACACGGTCCATTGAAGAAAATAATCTGCAATTCAAGATTTGCCTGCAATAATAAAAGATTTACCATAATCTTAAAAGGTTTGACCACTTTTTTTTTTTAACATATTCGGCAAGCCACTGCTGTGGCATTATCGTTATAAATAGACGAGAACTTACGCCAATACATTAAAAAGAACTTTCCGGAATTAAGATGGCTCGATAAATTGCGATTTGCATACGAAATAGCTGATTGGCTGCCATTTTTACATTTAACGGAATTTTGCATAGAGATTTCGTAAGAATACCTAAACTTAATTATTTTGATTACTTTATTTTCTTAATATGCTTGATAGCATTCAAAGAATATTTTAGTTCATAATAAAAGAATGCTGATTGCGGATTTTGGAGTATCAAAATCAGTTCCACTCATTACCGATACACATTTTGTAAACACAAGACTTCGCCGACAAGTTTATTTTACAAACATTTATATCACCGACAATTAATTCAACGATGTTTACTTTACCAACATTTACTTAGGGTTAGATGATAGTATAATTTAGGCCGATTTGAAGTTTGTCGGAAATAAATTTGCCGGTAAAGTTAATATGTCGGTGACTTACCCTGTATTCATAAATTCTGGGACACCTAAAAATTTTCTCGTCTCCCGAAAACTCTTCGATCTTGTTCTTAGAATCACTTAACTTTTCGGGAACTACTTCGCTGTCTCTATATCGAAATTCCAAGTACAGCGAAGTAGTTTCCGAAAAGGTAGGTGATTCTTAGAATGAGATCGAAGAGGTTTCGGGAAACGAGAAGATTTTTAGGTGTCCCAGAAATTATGAAAACAGCTGTAAGTATCTGTAAAATAAACTGTCTACAAAATGAGTGCCGGTGAAGTGATACGTATCCAAAAAACATTGGTTAAAGGCGGAAAAAAGGTCTGAGATACAGGTTTGATATGATTCTTTGGGAGATTTCTAGCGGTAGACCTCCTTTCGATTATTTTAAGGAAGCAGAAATTATTTTTCATGTATTTTATTGAGGTAGAGAAATCACTATAGAAAAATACCCTGATGATAATATTATGTTAATCTTTACCTGGGATCAAGATCATGCAAAAAAAAAAAAAAAAAGGTTCTTAAATTTAAGAAATATTCAGTTAAATGAAAAGTTTTCATCTGTGATCATTATAGAATATACGAAAAAATTATTTCTTAGATCGATCCTTCATCATCTAGTATCAAACATGAACTTAAATTAATTCTCAGAGCAGCGGAGATGGTTTTACAGGATATGTCAATCAAATTCGT